GATGTTAAGGGTTTTAGGGGCTCTTCCAGTCTGCATCTCCAGCACGTAAGTGTACACACTCGTCAGGTCACAGCTCCACTTGACCACTTAGCTGTCCTCAGGCTCCCTGCTGGCCAGATTTAATCTATCTTGAGAGGTGAAAAATTGCACTTGACCATGTTTAATTGCCAACATCAGAAAACAGCAAATTTTAGATTTCTGTTATTTGCTAAAAAAACAGAAAAGGCTCTCCAGAAATACTTCAAAGATACAATAATTTAGAGGAGTCTTTAAAAAAATAAAAATAAGCAGGCAAAAATAGAAGGCAATACAGAAGAGCAGTGCTACTTAAGAAAACTGAACAGAACTTAAGCAGCTTCTAATATTTTAATCTATTATTTGTTATTAATATATTATTAATCCTAAAACATGTCTAAATGTGTCCATTGTGCAGAAATAAAAAATAAACTACCACCTTATTCTGGAATTTCTCATCTCTCAAATTTGCAAAGGGGGTGATATTTTAAATCCAGAGGCCTATTTGTACATCACATTGATGCTGACAAAAATAAAAAATGTAACAGGATTGCCAGACTGCTGGGAAGTACAAAAGGAACATCAAGCAAAGAAGAAAAGGTGCAGTGGCCCAGGAACAAGATGATAAATATAAAGCGATGGCCAAGGAGCAAAGAGTGTGGCTAAAGAATGCAAAGCGAGGTACTGAAAGCACCGAGAAAGGATACAGTGATACTAGTCTGTTCAAGAAAGACTACAGAGCTTTGACATTTGAGTCCTTAAATATTCCTACGTTTCACCATCTGATACAGCCAATCATAGACCATGTAAAGACTTCTGACTGCAACAATTCAATAAAGCAAATTATTTCTTGCATCTGGATATTTACAGAGAGAGAATAAACTAATTGATACAACCAATAATGGCAAATTGACCACTAACAGAAAGATTACCTGGAAATAGTAAAAAAATTAACATCTTAAACAAGCCCCAGAAATATATTTCTAAACACATCTAGAATATTCAATAGGAATTTTACATTGTTTTCCAGACATAAGTTAGTGAAATTAAGTTAATATTTACTGAATGCCTACTATGGGGTAGGCATTGTTTCAAGTGGGAGCAACAGGCACTATACGGAATGTTTAAGTGCACCCCACAAAATAAAGCACTCTATAAAAGTTTTCATGATGATTATTTTATCTGTAGCATCAACAGACAGTACACACTGAAAGACAATTCTATGAGCTTTACTGTCTATATATACATATAGTTCAAGACTTTTCAAGGATTAAACACTCAAACTTTCCTTCATTTATGTCTTTAGTTGAAACCCAAACTAATAACTAACATTTATTAAGCAGCATTTTACTTCTCTTGAAAATGCTCCTTAAATGATTCATTACAAATACTTAATGCATATTTTTAAAGGATCTCACATACTATATGTTGGTTTCTGAGACACTGCACCCTGAGCTATTAGAGAGCAGAAATGCCCCCCCTCGTTTCTTCTTTGTGAATTAAGAACCTGCACAGTATTTATAGTAAAACACAATCTTGAATTACAAAATTTATTATAAAATCATTTCAATTCAATAGTGTCAAAGAAACTGCTTCTAATTTAACATAATTCAAGCATGACTAAGATTGTTCAAGCCCTTAAAGGTCATATTTCGGAAGGTCTTGAATACATATAAATATCAGTGTCGTACTTAAAAACTTAAGTATTGCTTAAGCAGGATAGTCATGGCTCCAAAGTTTAAGAAGATCCATTCAAGCTGGATTATTTAAACTTGCAATAAATAGGCGTATTTTCTTGGAAAAGTATCTATTGTTACAGTAAAACCTGAGTTTCCTCTCTAACTAGATTGTATGATTACTCGTTTATATTGTCCTTTCCGCAGGAATTCACACCCCCGGGTACATCCTGTTATTCACTTAGAGCTCCCCTCAACCTCACTATACTGCTTCCCTAACAGTGGTTTAGGCGCACAAAATCCTGACTGCTACCGACAGTCTGCACACCGCGCACCTTCAGGTCATGAGGGTTACCTTAAAATTTTTACTCCGCGTTCTCTCAGAAGACGGCATTGCTGTCCTAACCACTGGTGGCCTGGACAAGCCTTTGGGATCTTTTTCACTGATTATGTCCCTCGCCTTCCACCTAACTGTTTTTGTATTTGCACAACCTAAGAAACTGCTTAAGAGTGTGCTTCCCACTGAAACCAGAGCACATTCTTCCTAAAATTTTGTACGCTTGGATTTGTCTTTCTGAAGGCAAAGCAAACAATATTTTTAAAAAGGAATTAGGGGTATAATCAAGGCCAGATTAAATCACTGCCTCGGATTCATCTAGGATGCTTATTAAAAACACAGATTCCTGGGTTCTACGTAGAACCTACATAGAATCAGCAAAACGGGGGCAAGCCGTAGAATGTGCATTTTAAATAAGCTCTCTAGGTTATTCTGATGCACACTAAAATTTAAAAACCAGTAATGCGAAGGACCTAAAATTCAAGATAACATAATGGAAAAAGGAATTATGCAAATGGGGGAATAAGGCCTACTGTCAAATACAAAGAACTAGAAAAAAAATTAAAAAACTCATTAGTGAAGAGCTAATAAAATACTTTGCAACTACTATGAACTCCATAATGAGCCAGCTAAACTATGACATTCTTTGGAAACTCCTTTACTTGAGGCACTGAACAGGGCATACGTGCCTAATGAAAAAAAAGTATATACATTTATATACTAAATACACATACAGAGTGTCCCCAAAAAATGTACAGGGAATTTAACAGCTGATAGCTTAATTTTAAAAACGAAATGTACTTTAATAAACACTGCCTTTATAATTATCCAAAGTGCGTGTATACATTTTGGGGACACCCTGCATATTTTAAAGCGTGTATTTCTGGATGTGTGTGTATGCGCATACACACACAGCCTAGAAAGCAGTAACTGTGTTAGTATTAAGTGGCACGCTGCTACCCACTCACCAGCAGCTTCCGTTCTGCTGCACTACTTCCAAACAGGGAACCACCTATACATTTTTTTTTCTCTTTCTAACATAAAGTTTGCTTTCTTGTTGTAGAGCAGCAGGAAATGAAAAGGCAAAGTGACTCACATCAATACATCTTTGCCGGAGTTAAGGAGTAATGCCCCTCTGGCTTCTAGACTGTTAGCTAACTCTCTAAAGGCAGAGACCACATCCTCCATGCCATGGAACCCTCCCCACCACCAAGGTCAAGCAGTAAGCACAGCAAGTGAATAAATGCTGGGAATCAGGACAGCATTCCATGAAGCTGGGAATGGTCTTGGGTTATGGTCAACCACAAGGGCTCCTAAACTTCCACATGCAGATCTAGACTCACCACCAGAGTAGTGTATGATGCCCTACGTCTGGGACGGGGCCCAAGATCTGGCACGTCTCACAGTTCCCAGGTGACGTTAAAGCTGCTTCTCTGCAGACTAGACTTTGAGCACTATGGACTGAGGGGAAAATTCTCGGGTTTTTGCCATGTAAATGGTCCCCCAAAAAGAGAATTGAGACATGGTCAGGAAAAACAATATAGGGAATCTGGAAACCTAGGTTCTAGTTCCAACTCTATCATAAAATGGCTATATAGCTGATAAACACACACACACACACACACCCCTCAATGACTATCACATAAGTCATCTAGAAGATGAAGGGTCTGATATAGATGAAAACTGAAAATTCAAAGACTTTTTATGTAGATCAGAGAAAATTTAAGTGTCTAATATGAACCCCTGAAATGATTACCCTCAAACCAGTGCTTATTGCCCAGATCACAGCTATTAAACTGTATAGCTATCCAAAATAAAGAACATACAGCAAGCAAACAAAAAATAAAAAGATGCTCAGACTAAACACATCAAATCATCTAAATATAAACCTAAAGGGAAATAACTGTTTCGCAATATTCTAAACACAAATTACAAATTCAAGTATCTGTAAATGTGTCTAGGGCAGCAGGATCAGCACCATCTGAGAGCATGTTGGAAATGCAAAATCTCTGGCCACACCTAAGCCGGCTGCATAAAAACCTTCATCTGAACCAGATCCCTAGGTGATCTGTACGCACACTGAAGTGTGAGAAACACTGACCTAGGCCACTGAGGTTTTACCCTTCATTCTCTACTACTATTTGTAAAATAACATGATATATTTAAAAGACTGAGCATTTCCTGAAAAAAAATCTATTTCTGACATATGAACAGATAAAAAGAAATCAAGAAATGGTTTTAAATGAAAGGACACATTGAGACATTTTCAAACAAAAACTTCCATTTAAAATGCTTCCAGACTAGGAAATACTGTATGATTAAAAAGTAACAAATATCACCTAGCTCAAATCCCTAACTTATACAGCTGAGTAAAGTGAGGGACAGGGATGTTAACTGGTTTGGTTAGTCAAACAGTTTGTCAATAGCACAATAGAGACTGAAATCCAGTTCTACTGACTCCTATAATACAATGCCCTTTTCGGTAGAAAAGAAGAGTTTTAATCACATTTTCCGAGATGCACATACAGTTAATATAAAGCAGAAGTATATGTAATTTTGAAAGGATAAATGAAATGACATATCTATAAAAACATACGAAGGAAATCCATAGTAGTTAATATGTGTTTTATTCTTTCCATTAAAAAAAAGAGAGATTTTAAAAAAATAAATTGGAAAAAGAAGTGGAACTGGAAACTGACATACTTAATATGAGCATAAATTCCAAATATATAATTTTCAAAGAATGACACCACATTATCATTTAGTGGCAGCATCTGTTTAATGAATAAATCTGGAAAACTGACTTTTGGAAATATGAGAAATTTGGCTCTGCTACTTAAGTTTTACTATACAGCAATAAACAAAACTTTTTCACATGTGGCTAATTTTTGCAGTTCTCAACACAGCAGCAGCCAAATTCAACATAAGTATTTTATAGGCAACGATAGAAAAATTAAACCCTTTTGTCTCACCATCAAAGAAGCTCTTGGCTCTTAGGTAACTGACACTGAGCCTCAGAACGGAAAGCTTGTCCAGCTTATTAATAACATCTTGTGGAAAAGGCAGCAGGTTCGCCAAACGGTCCAGCTCTGTATTGAGTCGGTCTCTATGTCGCTTGGAAGGATTTGACTTGATTCCTTCAGCGGGGACTGGCTTGATGCTGAAAAACAAACAAAATGCTGTGAAATACTCTAAAATCTATAAAGCAAACATTTCCACTGCCTTATAGCATCTCCTCAAATATTTCTCTCATAAAACAAACATCTGAAATCTTTCAGTTTACATAAATCCTTTCAAAATGCGCCTTTTATATCTTAATTAAGCAAAAGGAGAGAATGGGCAAAATTCTTCATAATGTTTTTATTAAAAGCTTATGAACCCATGATAGGAAATCACTAAGTATATCTTATATATTTCATATGAATGTGGTATAGTGATTTCCAATGAACAAATCTACTAGAATTTTCCCCTCTTTAAATACAACCATTGTTAGGGAAAGGGTGGGGGGAAGAAATCTGTAATAAATTATGTGAAAATCATGCTTCCTTTGCAATTTTCTAGAAGCATCGTGGCATCATTTATGTTGTACATAAATAAGAGCCACCCTAAATAAAAAGCTCACATTCATCACCCCAGCTTCCTAAATTTAACAATTTCATCCTGTTAGTGGTAATTTCTCAAAGCCCTCTGGGACCTCCAGATGGTCCAAACACCATCTAATGGGGTCCTCCAATATTAAAACAAGAAAACATTTGACTTTAGATATTTATATTTGTTGAATGACAAATATTAGAGGTTAACTGTGATTACTGGCAAATTTTGCTTTTATGACTGGTCAGTACTTCTACTTTATTAGCATCCATAGTTTGTGCTTCAATTAGAAAATCCAATGAAACCCCAACATTTAGTATGATTTTCATCTTAGAGAAAAGACACTTATGGTTAAGAGGAGAACTTGAGTTTAGAAATAAGAAGTTAAACTAGTTTACACAAAGGCCTTAGCTAGGATTCACAGCAGAAATTCACTATGTAAAGTGAATTTACAGATCATTAGACACTCATTCTGAAATACAGAGAAGCTATTAGAAAACCAAAGTAATTTTAAGATCATGCCTGCACCTTTCCATTTGACAGAAAAATGAAGAATTATCTGGAGTATCTTCTAACGAAGTCTTTTTTTCTAGTTTTATTGAGAAAACAAAGACATTTTTTGACAATTCAAATAACAGTACCTTAAAAAGCAGAAACTGACATGAGTATAGTGCTATTAATTTGATGCAATCAAAACATTTCTAGATAATATGTTTTTGATGTTATATGTGGGGAATACTTTACGCAAAAAGATAAAAAGTAATATGAAATTTTAAGTTTTTACACTGTCCCTAACAAGAAATTTCTTCTGAACTTGCCTATTTCTAGTTTTTTCTATTATAGTTCATGTTATTTCTACAAAAATGATTAATTGGTAAAATGGCACACATACAAAGTAAGTCAGTAAAACTACTTCCAGACTGTTTATGTTACTGTATAATTAATGGTGACTGTTTCTCTAGCTAGTTTCCCTTAATCATACTGCATTATAATCAAATTCAAGTAACACCTAATTACTACATTTCTCCAATTAATCAACTGAATTTCAACTTTTACCTATAATGCATGTCTACCTCACTGAGTAATGCTCTCTTGTCAATACAAATATTCATTTGCACCTATCATGTCTTGGGCAGGCCAGAAAAATACTATTCTACATATTCCTCCCATACTAATTCTGTACCTGATGCATCTTATGCAAATGTCTTACACAACCATTCCATTAAGGAATATTCTCTTCAGATAACATTTCCAAAAATTAAAAATCAAATCCAGCCCTGCATGCTTGGTAGCTTTCCAATAAAGATTATAAAACACTGGGAAGAAGAGAGTAAAGCTAACACTGAAGCAAGACAAACTGATAGGACACAGGGAGAAATAACAACAGTTCAAGAAAGAGGCGTAGCGGTATTCCTCCAAGTGTTATGGGAGCTAAGTACTGAGAGCAACTACTTGAAAAAAGATTTTTACAGAAAAGATGGTATATGAAATGGATCATGAAAGACAAACAGGATTTCAGGAGGAGACATGACTGAGGAGGGGTGAGCTGTGAGAAGCCCCGTATGAAGTGTGACACACAGGGTGCAAGAGAGAGGAGAATGGGGAAGCGGGTTGTGATTCCAGGCAAAGTGGGGGGTGCTCTTCCCCACTGGGTGCTGCTGGGCGTGGAGTTCTTAACAGCAGCCCAAGAAAAACAATTTTCTGAGACTAGCACGAGTGATTTTTATTTGTATGAAATTAAATGCCTGCGTTTCTAAAGTCCCATTTCCTTTAGTCCTGTCATAGAAGTGTAGCTGGGGTTTCAGTAAAGCTAGAAGCAAAGGCAGGGTCTGGATTTCCTTTCCCTGCTGGAGCTGGGGCCAGTTCAGCATCAGGCTAGCTGCAGTCCACCAGTCCACTGGGTGTGGGGTCCTGTGAGTGAAAGCATGGAAGCAGGGGCCAAAGAGCCCCACAAGCCCCGGGCACACGAGTCCCAAGAGAGCCAAGAGCCTAACAGACTGAACTCCTTTCTTTAGGGGGTTACGTATCCCAAATCTTTGAGCCCTTGGAGTGGCCACACCCATGCTGGCCCACCATCTCTGTTCCCAGGTGTGACTGACAGCAAGCACCTTCGCTAGTCCCCCCCCACCTTTACTGAGCTTGCGTGTATCTTCCCTGTGTCCAGTCCCCTTCCTCCAATGTTTTACAGGGCACATGCCTATGATGTGTGGCCTTCCCCTTGCTTGCTTGCTGTTATTAATAACTAGCTAACTACAATGGTACCAGTTGGGACCACATTCTTTCAACAAATATTGACCACCCAGCATGTGGCAAGCACAGAACGCTCGGCAGTGAACGAAAGCCACGAGAGCTCCTGCTCTCATGAAGCTTACATCCCAGTGGGAAGATACACACACCAACACAGAGCTTTGTCTGTAAGCTTCAGGAAGAAACATAAAGCAAGGTAAGGAACGAAGGAGTGACAGGGGCGCTGGTTTTGACAGCCAGGGAAGGTCTCTCTGCTGTGATGTTTCAGCACAGACATGAAGACAACCAGGGAGTGAGCCCTGTGGGTGTCTGATGGGAAAATATTCAACGCAGAGAGTGCAGCAACTCTCCTCACAGAAATGGTGCCAAACTGTGGACTTTGGTATCTGAAGTCATCTTAAGCTTTCAGCTCAGGTTTGCATGACCAGTCTTCTGTTTTCACTCAGCTGACTGGTGACGGAGAGCACACAATGCAGGGCAAATCTCACTGAGGTGAGCGCCTCTTTCTAAAATGTAACTCCAGGTCACTCCTCTGATGCAAACTTTCAGTGGCTCCCCACAGTCCACATTCCTCAGCCTAGCAAACAAAATGCTCCTTGATCTTCCTATGGCCCCTAACTATTCCTCTGGCCTCATTGTTTCCAGCCAAGGCCTTCCTTGTCCATTATATTCCAGAGCTAAGAAATGACCTACAGTTGCCAATACGTGCTCTGGTGCTTTCATAGGCACTACTCCCCTGCTCTGTCTCACCAGCTTCAAAGCCCTGCGCAATTAGATCACTTTCGTCAAGTCTTCCCTGACCCACTCACAGGGGATCCCTCCCCCACTACTTCTATACCTGATGCATCTTATGCAAATGTCTTACACAACCACTCCACTAAGAAAATATTCTGTGCAGATAACATTTCCCCTAAATTAAAAATCAAATCCGGCCCTGCACTCTTGGTAACTTTCCAGTAAAGATAATAAAACACTGGGAAGAAGAGACTAAAACAAACACTGAAGCAAGACAAGCTGACACGACACAGGGAGAAATAACAACAGTACAAGAAAGAGGCGTAGAGGTATTCCTCCAAGTAGTGCTGCCTTTCTTGCCCTGGCTCTTTGCAGAATTCAGCTCTGCCCTAGGAGAGACTGCTTCTTTACACAATGCAAACTTGTTCACAGCTCTAATGTAGTACTATGCACAAGATGGAATATTTAGCATGAGTTCACATTTCCTAAGTCTAGTGTTATGTAACCTATATTGTATATACTTGTTTGTTGCTCTTACTACTATGAAAACTTAATTATTTCTGTATCCCCACTGCTCAGCATAGTATTTGACAGAGAGTGATCTTTCAATTAATGTTTGCTGATCAGAAATGTGCAGAAATGATAGGAGCCTGACCAAAGGCAGTAACAGTAGGATAGTAAGTATAGACTGGCTTGAGATATTTAAACACACACTTTGCGCCTATCACAAAGCTGGGTACATAGCCAGACTCAGATGTTCACTGAATTAAACTCACTTGCTAACCAACTTAGGTACAGGAAGGGAGAGGAAAACATTGAGTAAGGACAGGCTGCAAATGACTAGAGTTTGTAGCTTTGGATAACAACTATATTTCCCAATACAAGGCATATCAAACACAGAGAAGAACACACACTTGAATAATACCAACATTTAGGTGTAAGGTTGAGGAAGAAGCACAGACAAAGATGACAGAGGAGGAATGATAAGACAGAAAGGATAAGAAACAGAGTAGACTACTTTGGAGATTACAGAACAGTTAAATGCACAGAGGAATTAAATAATTAAGGATTGAGACGTACTCACTGGACTTGGCATCTCAAACCCAATGTTGTTAAAGCTAAAGTAATGGCTTTGACACACTTTTTCACTGACTTTGTGAGAAATATCCAGAACTACTTTGTGAAAATATTTCATACGTATCCATACATATTGAAGATATACAGAATAATTAAAAATAGAAATCTTACACCGATTACATTTGACTTGCGTTATGCTGGTAACTTTTACTTTTGTTTTGTCTTTAAATCTATGCCAAAATATACTGCCAACCACCTATTTAAATTAAAGGCTATATCTGAAATATAAATGTCCCAGTACGATGGGACTTGGGACACCTAGAGTTCAGAAGTCTGCTGAAATAGACTGTAGGATGTTGATCAGGCAAAGAAAAAATTTATTACTTTTTAAACCTTAACCTCAAAAATCTTGTCCCGACCTGTAACCAAAATAGTTGTGAAATCAAGACTCCAGCTGACTGCATGCCATGCTTCTGTTCTAGAAGCCTGCACGCTACAAGTACTGGTGGT